TGAATTGGAAGTCTTCAGAGGTAAATGAACAAAAATCTGTCCACATGTGTGGTCAAGTCGGTCCGTTCGACGGGAGGTAACTCGTACTTGATATCATTCCTCCATCTACAATATCGAGTCCCAACAATGTAAAACAAAATGTGTAAACATCGATCGCCATCTTGGAACTACCAGCTTATGATAGAATCAAAAATCAAATTCGAACAGCTTGTAGGAACTATTTTCAACTGGCTCATAGCTTTTCCTCAAAATGATAAAAATGTGGAAGTTGGTTGGTATACCCATGTCAGGAAAAATGTCAATAATGACCTTTGCAGAAATTATTTGTTGAAAATATTGTAGACTTGGTCTGAAAAGTAACATTTGAATGCAGAATTTTAGTGGCGCAAAATTGCATTGAATATTATGATTCATGAAAACACTTACCTGTACATGTATTTCTGAAGTATCCGTGTATTGACTATTATCGAGAAAAATGTAAGAAAATACTTCAAATCTCAAGAATGATGGCATGTATTATTAGGTCATTATTGACATTTTTCCTGACATGGATATACCAACCAACTTCCACATTTTTATCATTTTGAGGAAAAGTTATGAGCCAGTCCCATACTATATACACTGTCATGAGCCTGTATGAAATACCTTAAATCACGAGGAACCATGGAACAATCTCAAACGACTCTGTCGAAAAAAAATGAATGTGCAGTCACGGACTTAGATACCATCTAATTCCGTGGTTCAGTTTAGCTTTCATAAATGTACCCTGACTTCCAATTAACAAATCAAACACGAGAAAGAATATATACAGATTAGAAATAAGAATTATAAATGGGATAATTTAAAATTAAAGAAAATGATTAAGAAAAGAAAAAAAAATCAAACAGATTATCTATGCAATAACATCGTGTTCAATTTCAGCTATTTAAACAAAGCCATAACAGTTAATGTTGATTTGACTCAGAGTGTTGTAAACTATGTGCATTTGTAGCTACATGCTTAATATTATCCCTCGGTCAATACAAAATATCAAGAGTGAAATTTCTAATGTGTCAAATGAAAGATACAAATGTCATACCTGGATCACACCACGGACTTAGATAACAATCTAATCTAATTCCGTGATCACACACATAATTATGTAAGAATAAAGAAATGTGGACTATTAATATAATTTCTGAGTTTGATAGCAAAATGAACATTCTGTGTAAAAAGACCATTTTTATGGCAAAAATAATTCTCTTGTAACATTATCTAGTATGCTCATAGCCATTCCAAGTAGATCCATCTATTTGCTGTACTAAACAGCTTAGTGACGTTAAGTTGCACACGGAAAAACTAACGCAACACACCTGGACAGGTGTTAACCTTTGAACTCTTAACGAAGTTGCTCCAAGCATTGTCAGCTTGAATATGTTCACGCACACTACTCTTGGTCTTTATCAACAAGTCAGTTCATAACTAAACCTGCATGTCCTTGTGTTCATACTTATCATACTGATGAAAGTATGTAACATCAAAAGTATCTTTGAAACAGGCTAAAACAATCCATTTCTAAACTGCTGGGTAACCGACTCATAAAGCTGACAAGATTTTGAACAGTAAGCGGTCAGGGGAAACAGTTATATCGAGGACGTCCCCTGAGGGGGACAGCGCTGATCTTATGTCGAGGAAACAATCAGCGGGGGTGTTGTATCGAGGACGCCTCCCGCGGGGACCCTGTTCAGAGAAGTGATGTATTGCGGACACCCCTTGCAGGGACAGCGCAGATCTTATGTCGAGGAAACAATCAGCGGGGGTGTTGTATCGAGGACGCCTCCCGCGGGGACCCTGTTCAGAGAAGTGATGTATTGCGGACACCCCTTGCAGGGTTCTGTATATAATTGAGAGGTGTGGGCTCTAATGCCGAATTAGATTTGTCCTTGACACAGGCCACTATTTTCATCGTCCCCTGGGGCCGGTTAGTCTGTTTTTAAATGTAACGTTTTTGTGTACAAATCCTGGCGGACCTGCATAAGTGTATGCAGACCTTGCAAAGCTTTGTCAAGACTCGCCTGAAAACAATATCAGATTACTAGGTCCGACCTTATTGCATAAACGAACATCTCTGGTCCAACAATTATATTTACATAAGAAAAACTGAATGTATATTAGGGGTGTCACAATACGCCAAGAGTGTATGACGATATATTGCAATACAGGCAATATAGGTGTATTGACAGACGAGCCTAGTAGATGTACCTGTGCACGGGGTACTTACTTCGAAATTTAATTGACAAACGATGTTGAATTCGATAAGATCACAACGCAAACCACAGTGCGTTAATAAAAAAAATATTGTTATTTATAATAATATACAACGTTTATATAGCGCCCTATATAATTTGTAAAATTACTCTAAAGCGCTTTACAACACATGGATAATAGTAATGGTTATAATTGTGAAAACAAAAAACAAAGGCTTACACTCACTTTTATACATTTAAGCATGCAATGTGCACATAATTGAAGAAATAAAAGGGTGTAATTTACATGACGTCTTTGCAAAGATTCTAAAATGCAGACGTGAAAAGGTGAGTTTTGATGTCCCTCTTGAATTTGGCCAGGGTATTTGACTTTCTAATAGCAGATGGTAAGCTATTCCACAACGAAGCCGAAACCCTCCCAAAATATCTGTTTCCGTAGGCCTAGGTCACAGTTCGAGATTTTGGGACACACAACACAGATTCTGACTCCGACCGCAGTGATCGTGACGGCTGATACAGGGTAACACGCTCCTGTAGGTACTGAGGAGCTGTTCCATTCAGTGCCTTGTATGTGTACACGAGAATTTTGTACTGCGACATGTATCGTACAGGTATACGTAACCAGTGCAACGAATAAGGCAGAGGTGTGATGTGCTCTCTCTTTCGAGTACGAGTAACTAGCCGTGCTGCAGTGTTCTGGACCCTCTGCAGACGACTAGTTAGTTTGTAAGATCAGAGACCTAAAGTAATTTAGGTCTATGGTAAGATATACCACAGAGCAGGGCGTTACCATATTCCAACCGAGAGGTAACAAGTGAATGCACCAAATTCTTGCATGCATCTGCAGGTAAAAACTGCCGAATACAGCCGATGTTCCTGATCTGGTAGTAACAGGATTTGGCAATAGCGTTCACTTTTTTCTCCATTTTCAGTGAACTATCAAAGTAAACCCCTAGGTTTTAACAGCTGGAACAGTCTCAATAGTTATGTCAAGGGATATATTTATACTTCAAAATCAAATTTCTTAGCTTGTGTTTCGTCACATAAGAATCATAATCTGCTTTATGTGCACGATCTCGATGTTCGATGCTCAAATTTCGTGAGTCGAAGTCCCGATGTTTCGAATTTTTCCCGATGGTCCCGCAAAGTTCGAAATATCGAAGTTTGACTGTTCTTCATAAAAAGATAAATCAGATAACATACACACCAATTGTGGGTAATAAACAAAGGCAGAGTGAGACAAGTGCTTTGATGTATACATGTATACTGATTATATTTAGCTTAGCACTCCATCGGGAACAGGCTGTATGCTTACCGAATGACAGTGAACCTCATCCCTGCAGCATTTAAGCTTTATTTTATTGTACAACAGTTAAAAAACAAGTTATATCAGACTTATATCAAACACTGGATGGAATCGAGTAGGGGATTTTAATGTTGGAGGAAACCTGAGTTCCCAGAGAAAAGCAAAGTGGTCGGGCAGGTATTCACGTCCGATCGGGTAGTCGAACCGAGCCCCGTGGTCGCCTTGGTGGAAGCGAGTGTGCTGTCCACTGCGTCAACCGACAATCTTTTGAACTAGTGTTTTCTGTTAACCTTGCCAGAGAACATTTCCACTCTTCAAGTTTACGGCCAACCTCGGGGACTGATATTCCACCAGTAGTGTCAACTACCTTGTGACGAAAACGTATCTCACAATAGCGAAACATTTAGTTTATATATGGAACACATTTTAGCTCGATATATGGCCATTTCGTACATTTAATACACAGTTAACATCAGTAATACTGGTTGAATGTAAAAGTAAACAGAGGTAAATTACAGTATTAAAAGAGGTAACCCGAGTTTCCTCTGGCCCTAACACCCACACCAGACACCTACATATATGTCAAAATGTCTAACGCTGGTGTAGGGCCAGAGCTAGAGGAAACTCTGACTATAAAAGAGGCTGGTACCTATACAATCCTATGAAGCTTTACAGATTCACATTTTGTGGCTTTCCCAGATAATATGTATTCTAAAATTAAGTAAGTCGGGGTGTGCGATACATTTGTACAAATGTTAAAAATTATTTACAGAAACCTGTTCATGCATTTCTTAAAAAAGGTTATTTTTATATAAATACTACAAAAAGAGGTCAGATGGATATTTTTTCACATAATTGATAATTCTATCAATATTTTAAAGGCAATAACATACATAACCACGGACTTAGATAATCTAATTCCGTGGCATAACAACGAAACAATGGAAAGATATGGTAACGCAAAAGATATACAAAAGGCACGTCACTGCATATTGTAGATGATGTAACTAGTCCCATTTTGTTCGTTTAAATATCACGAAACCCCAAATTTTAAATTTCGAATAACTCATGTAATTATTATCTATTAATGTGTGTGTGTTTTTCTTGTAAGCATGCAATTACACGAACAATATCTGAAAACTGTCTGGTCGGTGCTACAAAAACGTATACATGTATATATACAATTATTATCCAGGTTTTTTACATGAAAATTGTAAATTTTTATTTCTCATTTTATCATAATGTAAAAGATTGTATCAAATTTTATATAGATAAAGTTGCATGCTCAAATCAATATTGGAGATATGCTATTCTGGTTGGCAGTAAACAGTCGTTAATACTTTTAATTACACACATTTTCCCTGTGAGGCAATCCGACCAAAATATTGGCAAAGTTATCGAACTTTGTGTAAATAATAGATGGCGCTACGAACTTGACATCCGCTTGGGTGCGCGCCAATCAACAAAATGGCGTGAAAAATGTCACAGGATGTTTGTGTATTTGATGTAAATCATCTTTATCATCATGATGGAGAAACTGGCAGTCGAAGACTGCATGTGCCCAATATGTATGAGTATTCTGATCGAGCCAGTGACTATGCCATGCAAGCATACTCTCTGTATGCCGTGTTTCAAACAAAATGTGGAGGAAAGCAGTTTGAGTTGTCCACTTTGCCGGACAAGGATTTCAGTCTGGGCCAGACGAGCGACAAAGACTGGAAAACTGGTGAACGAAAAGTTGTGGGATAATATAAAATCCAGTTATAGAGATAAGGTTGATAAGCGGTTGGCAGGAGATGATGATGACGACAATGCAGGTACGAATGACAGCTCGGTCGGTGTTGATGATATGTTGACCTATTTTGGACAACACGGTGGTTTTTAGGTCATTTGATACGGAGAACGTCAATGCGACGACATACACTCTCACCAATGAAATGTTATACTCATAGATTCCTATTCCATTGTATTATTTTATAATAACTAGTGTGTTAACGTTAATTTGCAGGTTACATTGATTGATTATGTATTTTTGTACCATGCGTATACATATTATCTATAACATACGTATTTACAACACTAGGCTTAGTCAGTGGCGGATCCAGATTTTTTTATCGGGGNGGCTTCAGTAAACCACCACAGCCCGATACTTTTCTTTCATCAATTTCCCCACATAGACACACCCCCCCCCCGCCTGCTAGTACATGTTTACCCATTGTAAGCATTTCATGTTCGCATGTAAATATTGTTCAGGATAATCACTTTATTTTGAAGATAAGTAATTAAATTACACATAAATGTTGTGGTATAAAGCATTATACATGATCACTCCATAGTTCTACTAATTAGCTGGGTTAACACATACAAGTTCCTGAAGTAAATGTCCAATCCAAATTCAGTACTTTTTTTTAACTCCTGAAACCCTTTAAATATCTATACTTCTAAGTACAAGTATCATTGACAGGTCTATACAGGCCTGTCAGTCCTTTTTTTATAACTGAATACCCTTATCTTATATGAAATTATTATACTACCCTTGTTATCACCCACTGCACCTGTAAATAATTTTCACTAGTTATTGAGAAACAAGTCTTCTTCAATACCTCCTAATGCAACCGGAAGTGAAGTGGACAGAATTAAGAATCGCCTCAAGAAGCGACTGACGCTTACAACGGTGTCACAATCAATGAACCAATATTTAGCATATATTGGGTCAAGTTAGTGTACAAATCTGTAACAACATTGATTTACTTGCCCGAATGTCCTGCAATAGTTTTAAAATTTTGGCACACGCTGATATTATAATCGACTTTCAAACGAATGAATGATGTTTCTCAATTAATAAACAAATCAAGTAAACAAGTATTAAAGTAAACACCAAACAAAACTTTCCCAATTGAATATGAATAACTGGTAAATTTGACTGGAGATTAAATGATTAAAAGTATATATCATATGCTGACCATTAATTCACTGATATTTATTGATTACATACAAGAAATGAAACATGAAGTCATGTGTATATATTGATCTATTTTATTTCTCCCTGGTTTAAAAAACAAATAAAAATATAATCTGAAATTTGGTAATGAAGGTCAACAGATTAACCAAAACTAATACATATATGGAAAATTAAGATAACATCACATGTCATTTGTCAAAAACTAATACATATATATATATGGAAAATTAAGATAACATCACATGTCATTTGTCATGGTTGTTGTTTCTTCTATTTTTTCTCAAGAAATTTTGTGAAAGAGTTATTTTTTTACAGTATTAATTCCCTATTTCAACAATCATGTATTATTTTGATAACGGTATACTGACGTGTCAGTGAAGCGTTAATTAAATGTAATCTTAGATATTGAACACTATTGATCCTGCTCTAATATAGCCGGCATATATATAGGACCCATTCCTAGTTCTAACAATATGATGTTAATTTCCTCGTTGTTGGAAGCAACGTTAATGCTTCTAGTAGCTAGTTGTAACAGATTTAGTGCACATTTTCTCCAGTAACCAATCAATGTCTTTTCCACTTAATTGACTTATTGTTATACTCTTGATAAACATGCAGGGGGTGTAAAACATCATGTTTCTCACATGTAAATAATAACAAGGATATGATTGGCCACTTTTATTCAGCTATGATGTTGCACAATGATGCATCACTTGCATCTTCCATTGTAATGCCATGATCATTAGTCATTGCAATTGTTTCCAAGATAGGAAACAGGTATTAACCCTTAGAGTGCTACATTAAAATACATACGGTAACCAATCAGTGCTGAATTAATTAGGAAAAATTAATTTTCACTGCAGTTCAAATTTAGATATAACTTCATAAGTCACAATTTTAGTAAAAATATTGCAAAAATAATACTTGTGTTAATATTAAAACATATTAATACCAATGAAAATTGGTTATTTGATATGTTTTGATTAAATTTTAATCAACACGATTAGTTGTTGACAATATAAAATACCATTTTATAGAATGTGCAACTATAGTTGTGACTAGCAGTGGTGGCCACAGACATACAGCGCAACTATAGTTGTGACTAGCACTCAAAGGGTTAAGATATATTTATATATGGTATCAACCAACTGAGTTAAACTCTACTGCCTTGATTAAAATATGAAACATTATATATAAGTTATTTAAACCTCATGTATATCATTTTACTTTACAGTCTATCTGCCGATTATCCAGCTGTCCAATCCTGGAGAAATAAGGAAAGAGTATGAAGCTGAAATGGAGAGGGTAAAAAATATCTTTATAAATATGTAATCATTGGTTGATCTAGGATCACCAGAGTTCATAAATTAAGAAGTCATCGATCACTGTCTGAAAAATATGTTTCATTGCTGCATGATACAAAGTTAAAATTCCTTACGTTTGCAACAAACATTTTTGCGACTGGTTTGTAGTGGAGATTTACCACTCAATACACTTAACTTGCAATTTGATATTCATCACAATATTCACTCTTACACAAGTTTACCAAAATAATTCTAAATAATATTGCTGCAACCCGGAGTTCAATATTTATTATGTACATACATGTATGCATGTAGATAGTGTTTAGACTTAGCAAACTAACGGTTAAGGTTGAGCATTATTTTGCCAAAATAAATTGTCTGTTTATGGTTGCATGAGCAAAAAAATAAGGGTATGTAGGTGTTTTTTTTTTTATTGATTTGTTTTGGTATATTTTTGTGTACTGTGTGGTCATGTGATTATGGCCCTACTATTGTATGTAAAACAAAGAATTACATAAACAAGGTTCAGTTGGAGGCAAATTGTGCTCCATATGCTGACATTTAGCGCCAACACAGAGCTGGAAGCAATTTTGAAAGGCAGTATTTAGAAATATAATTAGAGACATTATGTTCAGTAACTAAAGAAAAAACATTTTCCTAATACTTGATCAATTATTGTGGTATACATATCACTTAATGTAAATCTTTGCAATAACCAACCTAACTTACTATTGTCACATATACATACAGTGAATTAATTTTGTAAGGAACTTTTTCAGCTTGCTAAGCAGAGAGAGTTGGAGAGACAGAAGGAGATAGAAGCAAGTGAAGTGCTCATCAAGAAGCTACAAGAGGAAGAGGTACACATGAGGGAAACAAGGCAGATGGAAATGCAGAAGATGGAGGAGGAAGATGGAAAGCTAGCCAAAGAATTAACAGGTGTCGTGGAGGAGGTACGGCAATGAGATTTGACCAAAAGGATCTGACCCATGATCAACTTTGAACCTTTTAAATAGATTGTATCCCCCTCCTACAGTCATTTTTAAAGTGTATTTAAACATGTATTAACTATTTACTTTTAATAACACCAATTTCACCAACTTCAAAAAACAGGGTTATTCAAATAAATCAAAATCAAATTGAGTAAAGAAACATAAAAGTTAACAAGTCATTTTCATCTTTCAACCTAGACAAGACGAAAAGGAAATCCATAGGCCAATTCCAATGGAAAATCAGATGTACCAATGATCGTTCTAGAATATGAATGTAAAGAGGAATAAAATAGGCTGTTTGTACAAAATTTCCACCCCTGGTACCCAAAATTTGAAACCGAACCATTACCCGGGTACTGAAATATTTATCCATGCACATCACATTGCTGTTCAGAGGGGTCTTTATAACTTTATATAGTGTATATGTCATCAAAAAAATATTTAAAAATAAACCAATGGAATACAACAAAATCTTGCTGACGGAAGCTTTGATTTCTTTAAATTGACCAGCAGTTATTATCTGAAAACTAACAAAAAAATCATGTCATCGATATACCCTGCTCACAGTGCAAAAGTCATAAACCATGACGTATAAAAGATGTCAAATTCAGCATCCGAAATATGCTTTGATTGCATTCAGTAGAGCAACCCCAGATACACAATGGATGCAAGTATAATCAACATAGCACTTGTAATAGCAAAGATCTAGATCAGAGTAGTTATTCTTAATCAGGTGCATGGACGGAGGGACAGACCCCATTTCTATATTTCCCACCAACTCCTTGAGCTGGGTATAATAGATTAAATCCTTTTATGCAAGTCAAAAGTTTTAACCTTTAGTTTGCACTATGAGCTGATTAGCATGTTGACACGATTACTGCACATGCAAAACCGAAGTTAACAAAAAAAATTTTGCTCACACATGTTTCATGCTTTACATCAGCATGCTACACGTTACAAAAAATTAAGATCACAAAATGTAACCGCGGGACATTGCAACGCTTTAAACCAATGTGTTTAGTGTTACGCTAGTCTTGTTATTTAGTAATTTCTTCACAAGTCTGACATGAATGACAGTTGCCGAGGAGAAACAAAATGGCAGGGATATTAATATGTTTTACTCTATTTTCCATTGTTGACCATGTCGATGATAGACATTATGACGGGTAGTGGTGTTTCGATGATCAAAAAAAGTCTATAAAGTCGATCGATATTGGTGAAAAAGTAAGTGCTCGATTACAATCTTTAATAATCGAAAAATCGAAAACTGCTTAAATATATGCTAAATTTACTTAAAACTGCAATGTATCCAAAAACATTTTTTATTCGTCCAGCATCAGGTGTAGGCCCATAAATTTCTCACAAATTTCAATCGTTCTCACGAAAAGAAACAATGTTTGGTAAATCTTAATGAATAAATAAAAGCTAAATGGATTCTCACTGACCTTGGTCATTAAGAGGTCTAAAATCACAGGCTAGCCACTTAAATTACCGGGTACAGGCCAAGCATATCATTCCAATAGTAGTTGTGAATGGCAGGCCGATTTGGCAACGAGTGGCTTGCTGTCATACCCACCGATGTGTGAACTGTTAAGCAATTAAATCAGAGATTCCCTGTCCAGTTGGGACTAGTTGCTAATTAATATGTGATGACATTAAATAGCCACATAAGAGCTGTTAGTTTATTACAAATGAAAACATGGTTGAATAAAACTGAAATATACATAGAGGCTATAAAATTGAAACCAGACACTGACATGGAATCCGTGATTTTTTCTCTCGTTGTCAGGATAGGACTTAAGTGTTTACATATTGGATATAAAAAATAATGGAAGTAGTAGGTATTGTATTTTTTTCTTCAACAAATGAAGATTAGATATTCCCAATGTTTGAGATATGTTTTTTTCTAACCTAGGTTAACAAGGATATCCCTCTTGAATTTTGACTTCTTTTAAACTCATTCTTATTATTTGTCTGTGATGGAACTATTGTGATATATTTACTTTTAAATATTGATAACTATTCTGAAGCGTACCCATGTGTAAACCTCGTCATAAAATCTTTTAAAATATCAATCTAATCTCTAATTTTGGTTCCAAAAGAGCTGGCTTCAGAATAACACAAATGAGATAATTCTATGCCGGATTATTTCTGTTTTAAATGTCTCACGATTTTCTCACTAATTTATAGAAAAAATCTCATTTTTTTTTACCAAATCTCACTAAATAAAACACTGAAAGAATTCACTATTTTGCACCGGAAAGTTATGGCATGTATGTTAAGACTGGAAGTGTGAATTTTTATAATTAGGTAAAGATAGCCGCATACTGTAGTTTCATATTTTTCTATACACTACACAATGTATATAATCAATTAATCGGTCATGACAAGTCTTCCGTTAATCGATTATAATATCTCATCCGATTCCCAACACTAATGACGGGTACCTGTAACATATTTTCAGACCCTGGTAACAGGGTTCCAACATAACCCAAACCATATGTGGTTACTGTTATCGTTGACATGTGAAAAACCCTGGTATGCTATTGTATATTTTTTCCAGACAGTCCTACTAAAATGTGTGATTACAAATAAATATTAACTGATGGGTTTTGTTGACAATGTTCATATGTTGAAAAATAGTTGTGATATATTTATATCAGTTTATGTTTGATAATAAGTATATTTGTTGTTACAAATTGCCACTTCCTACTGAAGATGATAAGTAAGTGTTATAATAATTGTCACAGTGCTGTGATGTGTATTGGAGAAAACCATGGTATACTGTGGTACATTTTCTCCTGCAGTGCCTACCATAAATTACATTCAACTCCTCAAAAATTATGTTTATCTAATTCACAGGCTGGCACAGACGCCCCTATCAACTTTCTAATGGCTGAGTCGCGATCAAGGTTGACGAGGTCTACATCAGTCAACACATGCAGTAGTAGCAACACTGGACGGTCAAGCAGTCTAAGACCAGTGTCCACCATTGAATCCTTCATCAGCAAGATGCGAGAGGCAGAGAAGCTAAAGGAGGCTGATCGAATCTCCAGTGCTTCATCATTACAATATATACATGGCACACCTGATAGGGATTTTTTTGGAAAATCTGAAAAATTCTTGAAGGTGGACACACTAAAAGACATTGATAGGAAATCAAGTGATTGTTCCCTTCCTTATCTGTGCAATGAGCAAGAAAAAGGTGACAGTAGTACAAACATGTCTGGTAAAAGCAAGTCTCGAGCAAGTTCTTGGAATTATGGTTTGGTCGATTTACACACAGAAAATGAGGGATTATTCTCGGATGAATTGTCCCGAGACTTGTCCAAAGTTTCATCTTTTTGTGCTACAGATGGACTTGTTTGTCTTGATACAGAGAGTAGTGGTGCCAGTAGATCAATTGTTTCTCCAGATATTGAAATTATCACTGACAAACTTCAAAATGAACTACTGGAAAATTCATCTCCATCTACATCGAAAATGGATCGAACGTCGTCTAAACTGTCTCGAACATCAAGTATACAGAGTGAAGACAGCATTACCCAGGAGTTGAATCACTTCAAACCAATAAATGTATGCCCTGTGACCCCACCGAGGAAACTGGCCAGTGGCAAAGTCATTGAACCGCCATTGATTCGTACCACGCCAAGAAATCTGAATAAAACCAGCTTTAGTTCTCCAACTAGTAATGAATTGTCGTTATCTGACCTAGACGCATGTAGTCCAATTATGCAAAGACGATTGTCAGAGCTTGAAGAAGAAAGAAAAATCAATGTGCGCCGATTGTCAAAATCAACTCTGACTGTCGAAAGATATGATGAGGATGGTACTGATGAAAATAATTCAGCTATACCTGGATATAGTGACAGCAAAAATAACTACGCAAAAGTGGAACACACACAGGTGTACAAGAGAAAAGCTATGGATATAGATGATATGGATATGAAAATATCATCTAATGAAGCTAGCACAGAAAGGAAACTGATGATTCCTCTTGAATCAAATATTGATGATTCAATGGATTTTGACATTCCACCCCCACTGTCTGAAAACAATAATATTATCAATGTTGACAGTGACAGTAGGAGCTCTTCTGGCTCAGCTTTGTTGAGGAAAAAGCAGAAGAAGATGGGAAAACTGAAACAGAAAGATAATGTCTCACAAACACATAATGTACGGAAGAAAGGCTTGTCAGAAGAGAAACACGGATGTGATTCATTCAGTCCACAACGATCCATCACAGACTGGGTGGTCAAGGGAGATAAGTCTTGTAGAGATTCAGGCAAGTCACCAAGTCTCTTTACAGAAACTTTGCAAGCAACATGTCTTGGAAGGGATGAGGTTGATGGAGATTTCAACAGTAACGCTAGGGCTAAAAAATCACAAACGAGAACAATTGATCACTTTATGACCAAAGTAGACAAAGAATGTAAGAAATCTGAACCTGGTTATTCAAAGAGAAAGAGAAAAACTAATCAAAACAATGCTTATGTATGGCCAGATTATAGTCCAAAGAAGCGAGACGCAGAGAAAACATCCAAAGACATCGTACCTGGTTTGTCAGATTTGGATGCAAGTACAAGTGAGAGTGATGATGAGATGAACTCAAGCCCAGAGGTTCCGAATCGGAAACGGAGGACAAGTAAAAAGAGATGTATTTCAGAAGTTGAAGATGAGAGAACTGATTTCAAAAGAAGGAAAGTGGACGAGGTTCCAAAAAGGAATCTGACAAAAAAGCTAAAAGCTCTGAAGAAAACTGGTTCTGGTCCTTCAAAAAATAGCAAGGGCAAAGTAAGTTTGAAAAAATGTAAGCAATTGACAGATTCTGTTTTATCGAGTGATATTTGTGATGTAACAGACACAAACTGTCTTAAGGTGTCCGAGTGTAATATGACAATACCTGTAGATGCAAACTTGAACATTGTTTGTATGGACTCTTCAGTAGAAGTGTTAGATATCTTAGATGCTAGGAAAAAGCAGGAAGAAATGGACGAACTGTTAGCATTAAAGCTTTCAAAGGAGTTTGCAATTGAAGCCAAGCTTGGATTGGCCGCATTTCGTTTCAAAGGAAGTGACAATGAGTATAAACTTAGACGCCATCCGCGCTCAAAACCTAAAAAGTTTGAGAAAGTTTTTGACACATAGCATTTTACCAATGTTTATGTAAATTTGATGTCATGTTTTACACCAACATTTAAATGTTCATTATATGTACTGTTAAAAGTTTAAACTTGCAATATCAGATATCTTTTAATATGGTACGGATAATTGCAATCACTTATTATGTACAGAATTTTAGTTTTATATAGTTGGTATATAAATAGAATGATAGGTCCTTTGTTCCTTTCTGCAAATAGAGCATTCTTAAACAATATTGGGTAGAATTAGAATGTCTTTTTCATTAAATATGGATGATTAAAATTGCTGTTCAGTATCTCTTTGACCTGTGTATAACACATTTTGATAGATAAGGTCACAAATTTAAAGCTGCTGTTGTTTATATCTTCGAAATGTAATATATGTTCTTGACCATCAGATTTAGCCATTCCTGCATGCACTATTCACCCTAATATTTAGGTCACCTGAGCTTTGCTCAAGTGACCTATTCTAATCACTTTTCGTCCGTCGTCGTCCGTCGTCCTTCGTCCATCGTCTGTCGTGTGTCGTGCGTAAACTTTTACATTTTCAACTTCTTCTCAAAAACCAGTGGATGGATTTTTTTCAAACTTGGTCAGAATCATCCTTGGTAGATGAGGCTTCAAAATTGTAAAATTGGGATTCCTACCC